CGCTGCCGCTGAGGCCACATCCTGGCCCCCACTGCTTGCCTGAGTCATACAATGGCCTCCGTTTCCTCATCTGTGAAAGGACCGGTGGAGAGGTGGCTGAGGGCGGCTCCGTGGGTTCGGAAAGGCTCTCCAGGAAGGACAGATGTGGGGGGAGAAGGGGACTGTGATGCAGGGGCCTGGAACCCCCGCACGTGGCCTGTCGGCAGGTTGTCCTCGCTCCTGGCTGTGGAGCTCCAGGCTGGGCGGGGGCTGGGCTGGGCGCCTTCTACCCAGCCTGCTCCTGGCCCTGCTCAGGCAGACGCAAAATCTCTCCGAAATCCTGTATTTAATTTTGTTCTCTGGGAAACTGTAGGAGGTTTTGGAGATAAAGCTGAGCCGATAAGTCGGGGATTTGGCTGTTCTACCCCACACTCCTGGGCTGGGAGGCCGGTGGCGGCCCAGGATGCCGAGTCAGCTGGGCAGGGCTTAGGAGCCCCCCTCGCATCACCCCCAGCGTTCAAGGTCAGTAGGCTCCCGAGGGTGACAAGCGTGAAGGACACCAGGGAGAGCATGACATGCTTGGGGGTCAGACCCCAAGGGACGCCAAGGTGCTGGGGGCAGTGGGTCCGTGCACTGCAGGAGCTTTGGGGGCAGCATGGCATGGGGGATTGCTGATGCTCAGCAGCCCCAGGGCCTCCCCTGGGGATTTGGTCTCCGTCCCTGCCCTCGCTGGAGGCTCTGCCCCACTTAGCAAACATCCCCATCTTCTGGTCCATTTTCTGCGTCCCTGGTTTGCCAGGGTGTGGCAGGCAGTCCTGCAGAGGTTATTACTCTCCAGACCTCGGCAAGGTGCAGCCGGAAGCCCCTCGTGTTCTCAAAGGCACGGTCTTTGAGACTTTCCAAGTGCCATCTGGGTGATAAGCAGAACACACCCCAAAGCATTGAAAACAATGTCTGGGCCGAAACCGGTTTGGCTCAGTGGATAGAGCGTCAGCCTGCAGACTGAAAGGTCCCAGGTTAGATTCCGGTCAAGGGCATATACCTTGGTTGCGGGCACATCCCCAGTGGGGGGGGGTGTAAGAGACAGCTGATCGATGTTTCTAACTCTCTATCCTTCTCCTTTCCTCTCTGTAAAATATCAATAAAGTATTTAAAAAAAAAAAAAAAAGAAAAGAAAAGAAAAGAAAAGAAAAAGAAAGCAGTGTCTGAACGCACAGAACTGTGTGTGTCCGTGGTCACAATAGGTCTCCTTACAGCAGCCCCCACCCGGAAAACTCCCAGGTGCCCACCAATGGGCGTGGGCGTGACCGCCACATGGCCCGCCCACACAGCGGAACAGCATGCAGCCCCGAAAAGGAACGGAAACGTTCTAAGGAAAAGAATCCAGACACGAAGGGGCCCGTATGGCATAGCTCCATTGGCATGACATATCCATGACAGGAGAGCAGGGGGGCGGAGAGCAGGCTGGTGATTGCCAGGGGCTGGGGGCGAGGGGAGGGGGGCGTTGGGGCTTCTGTCTGAGGTGATGAAAAGTTCTGGAACTAAATACAGACAGTGGTTTTACAACCTTGTGAATGTACTAAAGGCCGCCCGGCCACAGTTTAATGATAAAAACGACAAATTTTCTGTTATGGGCACTTTGCCACGAGAAGAGGAAGCAGTGGTAAGAAAAGCCAATGTGTCTGCAAGGCTGGCTGTAGGCTCGGCACTGTCCTCGGTGCTGTGGCTCTCACCTTGCCTTCGCAGACGCGCAGGCGGACACAGGGGCCCTCTCCCAGATCGCCCGCAGAAACAGCGGGCATGGGCCTCTGCCTGGGCCCTGTTCCCGCACCATCGGACAGAACTTCCTTTGTGAAGCTGACTCTGTATCTCCACCTGGAGCCATCCCGTGTCCAGCGCCTCCTTTGTCATCGACAGCCTGACCGTTATCTGCCTCCTGCCGCTGGGATCTTCACATCATTTCATTTGGGGCTTTTATAGTGTCTTCTAGAAAACTGCTTAGCTTGGGCATGTCTGGAGTCAGTTCCGGAGGGAGGGGGTTCTGAGGGGTGGTGGAGGTCAAGGCCCCTCGTCGCTGGCCTCTCCGGGTGGGTGGACAGGACGGGGAGCCTGGTAGAGGCATCCACTCACCTGTTTCTGGACCCTCCCAGCCCTCTCCCACCCGCTCCGGCCTCTCTGCCCAGGCGGCCGTGGGCATTGCCCAGAAAGGACTGGCACTAAGATACCCTCCAGTAGGAACGAGGCCAGGGGTAGAGGCTGCTCAGACGAGGAGCCAGGAGCTGCACACACTGTCTCCCCCTTCTCCAGCGCCTACGTGGGGGCGGCTGCCCTATCTCTCCTCACATCTGGGGGCACGGAAGGCTCCATGCCACGCAGCCTTCAGCGCTGCTGTCCGGAACCGCTGTCCTTGTCACAGACCTCCAGAGCCCGGCCGGGGGCTGGGGACATCTTGAGTGCGCGGGCCACGGCGTTGGCAGCTGCCTGGGGCTGGGCAGAGCCCCCTGCCCCTCACCAAGCCCTGGAGGTGGGCATGGCTGCCCAGGACCCACACAGAGCACCCACTTCCTGGCAGATGAACTGAGGGAGTCACACGTGCGATATTAGTCCTTAGGCCCCACCTCTGCCCGTTCCCCTTGAGTCTCAGGCTCCCTCAGCTGCCCTCCCACCTTGGCCGGGGGCCAGGCCTCTGACTGCTTCCTCACTCCCTGCCCAGCCTTCCTGCCCACACTCAGGTCCTCTGTCCCCCGCATTGGCCCTCCCACGCCTGACACCTCCCCAGGGGTGGGGCCTCCACAGCTGCCTGAGACCAGGAGCTGCACACACCTCACCTCCTCCCTGCAGCCTGCAGGTGCCCCACCCCCAGCCTGGACTGTGTGCTCCTCAAGCTTCTGTGGAGGGGACCCTTCCTCCAGGAAGCCCTCCTGAGCATCCCTCTGCTGAGCCTGTGTCCCCCACCTCCTGTCCATGCTCTGGGCTCCTGCCTGTGAGGGCAGCCCTTCCCTTCCTGCCCCTTGGCTTCTCAGACAGCCAGCCTCTGCCGTGCCCGTGCCCAGCTCAGCGCCGTCTGAGCCACTTCAAATCCTCCTGTTATTAAAACGTTCCGCCGGCGCCCAGGGAGGCAGCCAGGGACGTGCCTCGGCCCGGCCTCGGCAGGTGCATCTGTTCGGAGACCGGAGAGCTCCTCAAGTTTTCATTCCGGGCGGGACATCGGGGAAGGACAGCCAGGGGTCCGGGAGGCCAGACGGCCAGGTTTCTGCTCCAGTGCCTTGGGGTCCCTCGGGGCCCCTCTGCCTCCCCTACCCCCCCCCTCGTGACCTTGGGCCCATTATGCCCACTGGGACTGCGGGGAGGACGCCAGAGGCTATGATGCTGAGAAGGAACAAGCTCCTGTTTCCCCGTCTCACAACTTCTGGGCCAGGGATACAGCAAGGCGGGCGTCCGGAGGGCTGGGCGGGCCCACCAGGCCACCAGGGGTGTCGCTGCAGGAGCCTCGGAGCCAGTTTGGGGGCACAGGTCACCCCATTCCACCGTGTGGCAGCCCTGCTCCCAGGCTGTGGTTCCTGGCTCTGCAGCTATTTCCCAGTTGGCCCTGCACCAGGTCGGCAAGACGTCCGCTGGAGCTCAGAGTGGAGGCCAGGGCAGCCTCTGGTGGGTCCTGCAGGCCCTGGTGGGTGCTCCCATCCTCAGGCCTGGCCACAGCCGGCTCCCGTACAGCCAAGTACCTGGTGGACGAATGGTCCCAGAACTGCTATGCACCTCACCCCCAGGGTCGTTCCAAAGTCACTGAGCTCTGCTCCTGCCCATGTGTTCTAGAGGGTTCCTGGAGGGCTCCCAGGGGAAAGAGTCTGAAAGGCAGGTTCTAAATAAGAGGTGGCTGGTGGTCCCCCCCCCCACCACCACCACTAACCCTCTGAGTGGGCCCTGTGTGTCTGCTGCCCTGGGGAAACCGAGGCACAGAGAAGCTTGAAGCATTCCTCAGGCCACATCAGCCCTGAGGGTCCCCTGACCTCCGGCCCACGAAGGCAGACTGGCTCAGTGGGGGTCGGGAGCGTCTGGGGCTCGGTCCCCTGAGCCCACCTGTGGGAAGCACTGCTCTGTGCCTCGAGGTCTAACGGCCACCAGCACGGCGAGGGTGCCCGTGCCGAGGCCAGGGCCCAGGAGGAGGCACCTCCAAGCGGAGCCTCAGGAGCCAGGCTGGTGTGTCTGAGGAGGCGCCGGGGCTACTGGGCCCTAGTGCGGGAGGGACAGGGGCAGGAGGGTGGAGGGGCAGGGCTTCTGGGGATTATGCTGAGAGTGGGGTGTCTATAGGGCTAAGAGGACTGAGCTAAGAGGACTGGGGATGGGGGTCCCGGGGGAGGAGCCAGGGTGGAGGGCTGAGGGGCCATCCAGGCCAGAGTGTTGTTGAGCTGGCAGAGGTGAGCCCAAGGCTCTGCCCTGCCCCGCACAAGGCATTTTACAGCCAATGGCGCCCTCTGCTGCCCATGTGGGGCATCACCTCCGCATTGGAACTTGCCACCCAGCATGGGGGTGAGGAGGACATGTGCCCCACACTGGGCACTGGGCGTACAGCTTGCCCCCCTCCCAGGCCTCAGCCACAAGCCTTTCCCTGGGTGGCCTTGGTGGACCGTCCCCAGGACAGGACCTGCGGGGCAGATGTGGGGCAACTGTGGGAATCTGATTTCAGGCACCATGGGAGGCTGAATTCAACTCCCCATCAGAGATACTTACACAGAGGGTGATCCCACGGGGACAAGTGAGACAGGCAGGAGCTGAGTGGCCCGGCCCAGGCACAATGCCTCCTCTGACAGATGCCAGCCAGGATGGGTGGGGTTAGAACCTGCCTGGCCCTTTAAGAGGGCCGCTGGGGGAGGGGTGTCTGTTGCCCAGCAACAGGAGGGCTTGGTCTGTACCTGTCTCCAGGAGACTTAGAGATGTCCTGTGCTGGGACAGAGTTGCCAGAGCTGCTCTGCAGACCATGCCAAGTGCCCTGCCTGCCCACCTGTGGCCAGGCCGGCGGCGCCATGGCTCAGACGGACGTGCTGCTGACCAAGCAGCCGGCCCCGCAGACGGTGCCGCCGTGCGAGCTGCCCCCCAAGCTGTACGATGTGGCCCGCAACACAGGCTCCCACACGTCCGCGGGCCTGGCCACCGCCGGCTTCCGCACGGCCAAGTACCTGGTGGACGAGTGGTTCCAGAACTGCTACGCCAGCTACCACCAGGCCTTTGCCGACCGCGACCAGTCGGAGCGGCAGCGCCATGAGAGCAGGCAGCTGGCCGCGGAGACGGAGGCGCTGGCGCAGCGGACGCAGGAGGACTCCACCCGGAAGGTGGGCGAGCGCCTGCAGGACATGCACTGCTGGAAGTCGGAGCTGCAGCGGCAGGTGGGCGAGCTGGTCGCCGAGACGGACCTGCTGCTGGCCCAGAAGCTGCGGCTGGAGCGCGCCCTGGACGCCACCGCCATGCCCTTCACCATCGCCACCGACAACCTGCAGTGCCGCGAGCGCCGCCAGCACCCCGACCTCGTCCGCGACCACGTGGAGATGGAGCTGCTGAAGGTGTGAACCCCTGGGGTCCTGGGGGACCTCCCCCCGGGTCACCCTCGCCTTTCTGCCAGGAGAAGGGCCTGGACAGAGCCTGGCAGTGGACACGGGGGTATCCCCAGGACACGGGCTGGCAGAGGCCTGGGTGCCCATGCCCCCTCTGCACACACAGGTTCAGGGAAGCTGGGACTAGGTCAGGGATGAGAATTGACTGGGTGCTGGGGCAGCTGGGCTGGGGGTGGGCCAGGGTGCGGCATTGTCCCTCCCTCCAGGTGTGTGTCTGGTCTGCCTTGGGGTAAGGCTGGGCTCCCTACAAGGAGCGGCAGCGCCATGAGAGCAAAGAGGGGCCACATCCTGAGACTTGGGAGGTTCATGAGCAGCTGAATGTGGGGGTCAGTTGTGGGGAGTCAGAGAAGGGGGTTGGCAACCTGGGGGAGGGCAGGAAGGAGACGGAAGCCTTTCCCTGGGTGGCCTTGGTGTACCGTCCCCCAGGACAGGACCTGCGGGGCAGATGTGGGGCAGATGTGGGAATCTGATTCCAGGCACCATGGGAGGCTGAATTCAACTCCCCATCAGCGATACTTACACAGAGGGAGACACCCTCCCCCCCCCCCCCCCCCCGGGGACAAGTGAGACAGGCAGGAGCTGACAGGCTCAGTCCAGGTACAATACTTCCTTTGACAGATGCCAGCCAGGATGGGTGGGGTTAGGACCTGCATGGCCCTTTAAGAGGGCCGGGTTGGGGGCACTGTGGCCTGGGTGCCCCAGTGTGGGGACTCAGACACATCCCAGGGCTGGGGCTGAAGCTTGGCACTTGCCCACTTGTCCCAATCTAGTGTCTGGCGCCTCCAATTATTGTTCACACTGGGGGTGAGGCAGGGCCCACCCTGTGGCAGGATTTATACCTAAGATATGTGTTGGGCCCGTTTACCTGTGGGTGGGACAGGCAGAGGCCTCGGAGGCAGGGAGGGGCCCAGCCAGTCCACCCCACCAGCCCTGACACCCCTCTACGTACACCCTGCGTATGAATAGGGGCCTGGGCTGAGTCCTGGGGCAGCCGTCTGAGGTTGGCGATTGGGCGTGGTCAGGGCCTGGGGCACCACTGAGTGATCCCTTGGTGACCTCAGCTTCCGGTACCTGCCGGGCAGCCCCTTGGATCACCCTGGGCATGCGCAAGACGCCTGACCCTAAGCTCCAGGAGGCTGAGCGCCCTCCCCCAAGTACACGTGTGGTGGAAACCCAGGCACCAGCCAGCAGTGTGTTGTGATGGGGCGAGAAAAGGGTGGAGGCTACAATTATTCCACAAGGGTCCCCACACTCAACCCGCAGGACCTGTCCTAGGGCAGCCCCATGAGAAGCATCAGTCCAGGAGGCTGATCCTGGTGGGGCAGACCTCTTAGCCTGCGGACCGCACCTCTCAGCCTGGGGGCTGCATATGTGAACATGCATGAGGGGTTCGGAGACAAACAGCTGCCTCAGAGCACCCCTCAAGCCATCCCCTGCACCATCCCCCCAAGTCAGGCCAGAACCTGAGCCCCCTCCGTCTCCTTCCTGACCTCCCCCAGGTTGCCAACCCCCTTCTCTGACTCCCCACAACTGACCCCCACACTCAGCTGCTCAAGAACCTCCCCAGTCTCAGGATGTGGCCCCTCTCTCTTGAGCCCAGGCCCTGGCCCAGTAGTGTGTGGACCACTAGCGTGGCCTGAAGAGGAGCACAGACCAGGGGGACAGACCCGGACACACATGGGTTAAGGCACGAATGGAGGTGAGACTTCACTTCAGGGAAGAGTTGTCTGTCTATAGAAAAGGAAGCAGTCGAGGCAGCACAGAGAGCGGCAGGGAGCCCCCCGTGCCCTCGGTGTGGGGAAGGCCTCCCTGTGCTGTGGCCCCAAGGGGAGGCCCCACCTCGGAGGGCTCCTCGTCCCCGGGGACCTAGGTCCGAAGAGGCTGTAGGCCTGGCTGTCCAGGGGCTGATGACCTCAGTGCCCTGGGCAGGTTGCAGGAACAGCCCCCGGAGCCTAGGGGTGCTGGTGCCCCCAGAAGAAAAGACCCCACACGAAGCCCCAAATAGAATGGCCAGAAGCCAGGAGTAAACCTTACGAGGAAGACCAGGGTTCGTGCCTCATTTTCCAGAAAGAGAGCAGGGTCAACAAGGCCCAAGGCCAAGCCACTCAGCTGGGGGTCAAGTGCCAGCTGAGCCCCAGCTCCCCTGGGTGTCTCCCCGAATCCCAGCCCCTCCTGGGCGGCCAGCAGGTCTTCACGGGGACGGGGTTTCCCTCCCAGGAGGTGGAGCTCATCCGGAACATTCAGGAGCTGCTGAAGAGGACCATCATGCAGGCTGTGCACCAGATCAGGTGGGTCTCCAGCCCCCCGGGGCACCCCTGGCCCCCCACCCCTCAGGCTGGCTTTGGGCAGGAAGTCAGGGTCACCAGGCCCTGAGGCTCAGAGAGGAGTGCAGGCAGGCAGGGCACCGGGTAATGGGGAACCCAGGCGTCCACGTGGCCCAGGCCACCATCCTGGGGCGGAGGGGCCTCTGAGCTTGGACACTGCTGGCTCGGTGGCCTCGGTGTCCCAAGGACCCCACGCTGGGCAGATGAGGCGTGCCTGCTTTTTGGGGATCGCCCTGCCTGGTGCCCAGCGGGCCCAGATCCCCCCTCTGCACAGATTCAAGCCCTGCCCGCTGCCCCCAGGTCGAACCGGGAGCACAAGGAGCTGTGCGAGATGGACTGGTCTGACAAGGTGGATGCTTACAACATCGACGAGACCTGTGCCGGATACACCAACCAGAGCACGGAGGTGCAGTTCCACCCACATTCCACCAAGTTTGAGGAGAGGTGGGCTTCCGCCTCCCTACCCCAGCACAGACACCCTGTCCCATACCCTTGTCCTCCCTGCCCCCCTCATCCCGTCTGGCTCCTGGGGGTCCTCCCAGCGGGCCCCTCCACCCCCGCATGACCCTGAGGCCCTCACCATAGAGCTTGCAGTTCTGCTTCTGGGGCCTGGGGATGGGCTTCGATCAGGACTCCTGCCCTAGTGCTTAGCACACACAGGCACCAGAGAGGCCAAGGGGCTGCGGAGGGAGGCGGGACCCAGGGTGGGGTGGGTGGGCGGGACTGAGGCACAGGAGTGGGAGGTGGGGGGTCAGGGGAAGCCTGGGAAACGAAAGGACAAGGACAAGTGGCCTGCAGCTCCGAGAGCGGCCAGTAGGGAGCGCGAGACCGCCACCCATGTTAGCCCAGCCCTTGTGGAGGGTTGAGGGGTGGAGGGGAGAGGCACAAGGCGCTGGGTGCAGCAGGGGATGCAGGACGCTGGGTGGCGCTGGAGGGCGCGGGGCAGAGCTGGGGTCGTGGTGGCTGGAGACGCCGGACAGTAGGGAGCACGGGGACGGGAGCACGAGGAGGGCCTGGTGGGACCCAGAGCGTTGGCGGGTGCACCCAACGACCCTGCTCCACCCGCTCCCCGCCCGCAGCGCCTCCATGCCGGAGACCTGGGCCAGGTTCACGCAGGAAAACCTGCAGCGCGCCGAGCGAGAGCGCCTGGCCTCCTTCAACCTGAGGGGCCTCATCGAGTGCATCCTGCGCGACACGTCCGAGGACCTGCGGCTGCAGTGCGACTCCGTGAACCTGGCCTTCGGGCGCCGCCTGGAGGAGCTGGAGGACGCGCGCCGCAAGCTGCAGCATCACCTGAACAAGGTGCACGGATGCACACAGGCCGGCCCTGGGGTCTGGGTGCCCACAGCCAGAGAGAGACCCGGCTCCTGTGCCCCTCCTCTCCCGCCCCCTGGCCACTGTGCCCTGGTCAGGACCCGCCTGGCCCCTGCCCCTCCTCTGCCCCTCCGTCCTGAGGGACCCCAGAGGCAGGGCCTCCACCCCTTCCTGCACCCTCACGGAGCCAAGGAAAACCCAGGTGAGGCTAGTGTTTGCCTACTGGCACTGCCACCTGAATGACTAACCAGGAGGGACGGTCAGGTGCGGGCGGGAGAGAAGATGGGAGAAGGTGGTCTGGGCCCAGCAGGGCTCTGACCCCAGGCTGCTAGAGTCGCTTTTGCTGCTTCCAAGTCTCTCTGGTTGTTGACCACCAGCTTTGTGGTCTCACTCCCCTGGGTGCCCTTGAGAGGGCCCAGGGAGCTGTGCACCCTCCCCCCCCCGCCCGCCTGCACACCCCCTCCAGAGCCAGTGGACAGGCTGCTCGCTGGACAGCCCTAGGGCTCAGGGACGCAGCCAGGCGCCTCCTGGCAGCCTGCCTGGGGCCCATGGGGACTATCGTGTGTGCAGACGCTTCGCGAGATCTCAGACCAGGAGCATAACGTGGCCGAGCTGAAGCTGGCCATCAGGAACAAGGAGCTGCCTCTGAAGGTGGCGCAGACCCGCCTGTACCAGCGCTCACAGAGGCCCAACGTGGAGCTGTGCCGTGACACCGCCCAGTTCAGGTGCAGTCCCGGGGCGGCCGGACCCCCGCCCCTACCCCCACCCGGGCGCTGCCCAGGCCCCCTCGGTCTCTGGGACCCCCATGACACCCCTTCCCGAGGCACACAGGCCGTAGGTGAGGTGAGGAGACACTGGGGTCTCACACTGGCACAGCTCACACACGCAGACATTTGCACACCCCACTCCCTCCCAGCACAGCTGGGCACCCCGTGGGCCACGGAGGGGCACGGTGTCAGGACTTGGGGTGCCAGGGCCCGCGGGCACTTCCCCACGTCACCCGGCGCTGTGCAGTCTTCCCAGGGAGGAGTCTCGGGTCCGAGAGGCTGAGTCCTGCCTCACAGGCCAGTCGCACCTCTGGTGGCACGGGGGACCCTCGTCCTGGGCTGGGGCCATGGGTGGGACCAAGTCTTTTGTTTTTCTTTTTTTCTTTTTTTTCTTTTTTTTTTTAATATATTTTATTGATTTTTTACAGAGAGGAAGAGAGAGGGATAGAGAGTTAGAAACATCGATGAGAGAATCATTGATCAGCTGCCTTCTGCACACCCCTTTCTGGCCAAGGTACATGCCCCTGACCGGAATCGAACCCGGGACCTTTCAGTCCGCAGGCCGACGCTCTATCCACTGAGCCAAACCGGTTTCAGCCCAAGTCTTTTGTTTTTCTAACTGACTGAGCTGTCCTGGTGAGTAACTGACCCCACCCGCCCTGGCCTGCCTCCCTTCCGGTTTCTTGATTTTGTTCTGAAAACGGGGCTTCACTCTGCTCCAGGGGTCCGTCCTGCTTCCAAGCATCAGGACTAGAAAGAGCCTCAGGGAGCCTTCGGGCCTCTCACAGAGCCCTGGCCCCAGGCCACGCCCCCGTTCCGCTGTGGGCTGAGGTTTAGGGCCTCTGAGGTCCTCTTATGGCTGAGCGTCTTGGCCGGGCCTGCTCACCAGGGTTTCTAGCCTTTGCATCTCCCGTCTTGCCCCTCCCCGCCCAAAGGCCTGTTGTTCTAGTGACCACCAAGCTCATTCCTCCTTCCACCAAATCCCCTAGGCTGGTGAGTGAGGTAGAGGAGCTGAACAGGTCCCTCACTGCACTGAAGGAGAAGCTTCTAGAAGCGGAGCAGTTGCTGCGCAACCTGGAGGACACGCGCATGAGCCTGGAGAAGGACATCGCCGTCAAAACCAACAGCATCTTCATCGACAGCCAGAAGTGCATGACCCACCGCGCCCGCTACCCCACCATCCTCCAGCTGGCCGGCTACCAGTGACGGGGCCGGCCCCACGGCACAGCCTCCCCGCTGTCCTTGGCCAGATTCGGGCAGGGACCTGTCCCCCGCCCCCCGAATAAAGAGAACATTTGCTTCCTACCTGTGGCATGGGGCTCCGAGAGGAGCCTTCGCAGTCAGTTCCTCACGCCCAGGGCACGCTCAGCTACCACCCGTGGAGAGGGGTCAGCCAAGGAGAGGCTCCCCCTCATCGCTCCAGCTGACCACGTGAGGCCAGGCCCCTCTCCGGCTCCCAGCCATGGCCCCCTGCGCCCCCTGCAGGATGCTGCTGAGTAAGGGTCACCTCTCATCCCATGGAGGCCACACCACTCGTCACAGCCTCTGGTTCCTGCAGCAATAACCTGCTCTTCGTCCTCCATGGGCCCGGGAGGCTGTGGTGCTGAGACCACGGCTCTCCCCTCGGTATTGGGAGGTGAACCGGGGCAGAGGTGCCGGACACACTGTCAGCCTGCTCTGCCCGGAGGACGTGGCCCCAGGGCTTTGGGCATCCACGCCGTGACTCAACACCCCCGGAGAACCCCCAGCCAGGCCAGTGACCTCCTGGGAAAACCCCTGCCTCCCCCCCAGGCACAGAGTGGGCACTGGAAGGCAGACCCTGAGCTGGGGGTGGGGAAGTCAAGGTTGTGGGTGGCCTCCATGCCCAGCCACCTCGGCCACCTTTAGGTGGCCAGTCTCCTTGTTCAGCGCCCTCCCTAGCCAGCCAGTGCGTCGGGTGGGGTGTGGGGGTGGGTGTGAGTGTGAGGAAATGCAGGGTCTCTGCTGCCCACCTGGTCCCACGCCTCCTGCACCCTGTGTCCACGCTCGGGGAGAAAGGCAGTCCCCCAGGAGGGCCAGGCACTTTGTGGAGGGGGGTGGCAGTGAAGCCCCCCTTGCTGCGCCCACAATGTGCCTCTACCCCCAGCTGCTCTCTCTTCCCAGCAGCAGCTCATAGACAGGACACTCAGGGACACGTCCATTAAGAGGCCGGAGATAATAACTCCCACTGTGCAAACCGCTGCTACGCAGACCCTCTCATCACCCATGGCCGAGGCAGTGTCCCCATCAGCGCCGGGGTCATCTCTTCCTGCCTCCTGGAGGGTGGCAGCTGATGGAGCTAAGTGAGGGAGGCTGTTTGAAACTCATTATCTCTACAGCGTGGGGGTGACACCAGCAGGGAAGGTGGCAGGGGGGGTTCCGTTGTCTGCAGTCCCCTGTGCCATCTATGAGGCTGGACATTTTGTCACCCTGTAGAGACCAATGACCAGGCCCTGGAGCGGAGCCATGGCTCCAGGCCACACACCGAATGCCTGGGGCTTTCTGTGGGGCTTGGGGTGGGGATAGACAGCGATGTCACCCCAGGCTGGCCAGTTCCCTCCAGCAGGAATTCAGCCCCCGCCGCAGACCCTCTGTGGTCAGCACGGGGCCACAATGCTCAGCCACCTTCCCGTTGTCACGGAGATGTGGGGCAGCATGTCCAAGCGATGGCTATTTCTGTCCAGGAGCCTCGTCCTCGACCTGCCACCCGCTGAGTCACCCTGGTGCTTGCTGACTCCCTCCGCTCAGAGCCTGCCTGCCCACCTGCTGCAGCCACACACCCCAGCCCAGGTCCCGGCTCAACCCAGACCCCCCCCCCCGAAACTGGCACATTTAACTCACCATCCCTCCCCCAGTGACTGCCATCCCTTCTAGGGGGCTTCTCTGCCTGTTGGAGTCAGGGAGCAGGCGGCAGGAGGCACAGGGAGGGACATCAGCCCTGCAGCGTGGTGAGACTCTGGCTTCAGCCATGTCCATCTGGCACACTCCGGCAATGTCTGAGCCCACGGGTACCATTCACAGGTGGGGATACCACGGCTCAGTTGCAGAGCTCCGGCGCCCGTCTTTCTCTGGGAGCCTCAGAGGCGGTACTGGGAGGGCAGAGAACAGCCCCAAGCCTGCCCTCGGGCCATCAGCTCCACAGGGACCGGGTGATGAGAGACAGGGGCCTCGGCCACTCACCGCCCTGAGGCCGCCGGCTGAGCTGCCTCGAGTCTCAGAGCCAAACCACAGGGCGCTGGGGCTGCAGGGCGGCGAGCCCTGGCTCAGGGCCTTGTGTCTTCACACCCCCTCGGTCTGTGCCGCCCTCCAGGCAAAGACAGCTGTCCCCAAAGGGAGTCCCTGGGCCTGCTGGAGTGAACTGTCCTCCCCTTGGGGATGGGGCCAGCCTGGGAGCCAGCTCCAGCTGGTATACCCCCCATCCGCACCCCGCACCAGCCCCACTCACTCCATCCTGCACAAGAAGCCCCCCACAGGCGGGCGCTTCCACCTCCCTCTCACCTCCCCCATGCTTCCCCTCCGGGTCCTCAGTGAGGAGGGCGGGAACAGCAGAACCGGGTGAGCTGCCCCACACACAGCCCGCCTGGTTCCCAGGCCTGGCTGGTGCCTCACCCACAGGTGGCCAGCTTGGTGTGTGCGTGGGTCCACATCCCAGGAATCGCACGTCCCCATGTTCAGAGGCCAAGGTGCAGGGTTCTGCACCCGGACCCAGTGTCCAGCTGTCCACACCCAAAGCGGGGATGAGGCCGGGCCCTGGTGTGAGCTCAGCTTTAGGCTCACGGTGGGCCCAGCCCTGCCTGCCACCGCTTGGGGGCGCCTAAAAGTCACTCCCACCAGTGGGCATAACAGGGACACAGCCCTTGTCCACGGAAAGGCCAGGCTTTTGTCTCCCTCTGCTGGGCACCTTGACCTGGAAGGGTGCGGGGGAGACCGAGGTCGACACCATGGGTCTGGCCCAATGGTCAGCAAACTCATTAGTCAACAGAGCCAAATACAAACAGCACAACGATTGAAATTTCTTTTGAGAGCCAATTTTTTTAAACTTAAACTTCTTCTAACGCCACTTCTTCAAAATACACTCGCCCAGGCCGTGGCATTTTGTGGAAGAGCCACACTTAAGGAGCCAAAGAGAGCCGCAGTTTGCCGACCATGGGCCTGGCCAGATGCTGTTCTCCTGAGTTCCATCCACCAGCCCCAGCCCTCACTTCCCAGCAGGAGACAGAAGGCTGTGGCCATTGCCAGGTGGGCCCTGGTCTGCCCCAGCCCACGTTGGTGCCAAGCCCTCTGACCAGTCTCCTCCCAGCTGTGGCTTCGGCCTCCCCCAGTCTCCCTTAAGTCATTGCGCCCCAGATGGAGGAGGCAGCCAGCCCACAGCACCCTCTCCCAACCCACCAGTCAGTCCCAGACATTCCCGACCCTCAGACCCTGCCGGCCCCTGGAGCCCCCGTGGCAAGGCTATCGCCCGTTGGCAGGTAGTCGGTTGGCGGAGGGCAGACTGGCGGCAGGCGGCAGGGCCCCGTGAGCTCCCGCGGAGGCTCTGAAGCTGGCCCGAGGCCTGTTGGTCTTGGCTGGCCTGGGGGAAGTGGCGCCTGGTGTGGGCATGAAAAGGCTCTTTCACAGGCTGCTGGGCAGTGGCGCTGGAGACAGCCGGACGGGCAGCAGCACCAACGGTGAAATGGTAACGGGGAGCATGGGGGCGGGTGGGCATTCACCGCCACCCAGCCCAGGCTGGTCTTACAGGGGGTCTGTGCTCCCCCTGAGACCCCAGCAAGAAGGAGGCTCCAGCCCAGACTGTCTTCTGGGCAGGCCAGGCGGCTAGGATGCCCAGGACCCCAGACTGCCAGAGGGGCGAGGTGGGGTCCATTGGAGACGCCCACTCCTGTCCGATCCCTCCACGGGAGGAATCCAGGAGGGTCTGGCAGGGTCCAGTGAGGCTGGCAGGACTAGGCAGGGTCTCCTGGGCGCTGGGATGGGTGGAAAGACGGGTTACCCTCAGCAGGGAAGCTAAACCTGAAAGTGGGTCTCGGACCCACTGTGCAAGAGGAAGGACCTTGCACTGGGCTGCAGCTCCAGAGGGCTCCCTGGAGGAGGGCGCTGGGTCTTTGCTCAGCAAGGTCGGGCTACAGAGAGAGAAGACCCTTACCTCACACGCCTGCCTTTGGCTGAGCTTCCCAGATGCAGCCTCTGGGGAGATCAGGGCCCACTTGCCGGGGGAAACTGAGGCCTGGATGCTTGTGGGACTCACTCAGAGGCCCCAGCAGCTGCTGGGTGAACCAGGAAGTGGTGCCCTACCTGGCATGGGCAAGCCAGGTGTCAGGCAGGGTTTCCTAGGGGAGGGTGTTAGGAGGCAGGAGGCCCAGGACTGGTGGGGTTAAACACCACCCCGTCCTCATCACAGAGTGAGGGACCTCATGGGTAGCCTTCCAAGAAGCCCTCCTTCTCCTTCCTAGGAGCTTAGGACCAGAGGGCTGCTCTCTGCCCAGCCAGGCGGCAGGAAGAAACTGCCCCACCCAGGCCCCACCCAACCAGGACCCAGGCCCAGCCTCAGGGTTGGGGAACTGTGCTTCCTTGAAGCTGCCTCCTCTACCCCTTACCCCCCACCCCCACCCAGGGTTCTGCCTGCACAGGAGGGAGAGGGCTTTGGAGGGTGGAATCAGAGCCCCACCTCCACCATCTTCCAGGTGCAAGGACCCCAGCCATAGGGGCTCTGGGTACCAGGACTCCCCGGCTGCAGGCACTTAGGGTGTCTGCTCCAGTCCAGAGTGAAGGCCCTGGGAGGGTGGAGGTGTAAGAGGGAGCAGCCCCGAAGAAGGAGCCTGGCAGGACCAGCTCAGACTGGGCGGGGCTGCCTGAGCCACTTTGCCAGGGGCTCTGGAAGGGCAGGGGTGAGCTGTCCCCTGTGCAGGCCCTCAAGTTGTGGTGGCCCTGGTGGTGCTGTGTGAGGAGGATTCTGAAGCCGCATCCAGGTCTGGGTGAAAGAGTGCGGGGATCTATTAATGATGTCTGTCAGGGCTGGGGGCTAAGAATCTGAGAAGGACATGCCAGGCCTCTGAGACCCTGGCTCTGCCCACTGTGGCACCTCAAGGGCCCCCAACTGTGTACCCCACCCAGATCCCATCTGCTGGCTCCCCAGACAAGGGGCACAAACAGCTGCTGTGGGGTCTGGGGGCTCAATGGGGTTTCTCTTTTCTCAGATGCCCTCTCTACCTCTCTCCTCTCCTAGGCTCCAGCCCAGATGGCAGCCTCTGGCCTTCTGCTCCTCCTGGCGCTGCCTGCAGGGGCCTGGCCCAGGCTGGGGCTGCCCCACAGGCCGTGTGTGCACTGCTGCCGCCCGGCCTGGCCACCAGCTACCCCTGGCTCACACGGCCCTGATGGTGATGGGGAGAAATGGGTGCAGCTGCCCCACGTGCGACCCACCATCGACATCTCCATCCTCAAAGGTAGTGTCACCAAGAGGTGGCCCTCCCTGTCCCCCGCCCGCACAGGGACCCCCCCTGAGAGGCAGAGGAAGGAAGGGGCAGGACAAAGCTCTGAGGCCCTGACTGAGCGGAGTGGCTCTGGAAAGGCACCCAGGGCCCCGGTGAGACACTTTGCAAAGGTCATCGGCCCCCAGCCACCCCTCAAGCGGGAAGCAAGGCGCTTCGAGAGGAGCTGTGAAGAGAGGGAAACTGAGGTCCTTTCCATTTGCTCACCCAGTCTGCATCGGCCCTCCTGGCACAGCACCCATGGGAGGTGGGGTTGGAAGGGTAGGTCCACCTTGGGAGAAGGCAAGAGAGGCTGAGCTCAAGAGAACCTCACCCTGGGGTTGGACAGCAGGCCCCAGAAGGTTGGACTTGGGTACCAACTTCCCAGCCCTGTTGTCTTTCAACGCCCAGTCCAGCTGCCTGGACTCACGTCATCCCCACGGTCCCTCCCTCCGTCCCCCCTGGATCATCTGCACAGGCTCCAGAACAGCCACAACCTAGGGGTGTGGCCTCTCGTTGCCCTGGGCAAGGGGTGGGTTTACACACCCATCCTACAATAAGGAGACTGAGGTTCGGGGAAGTGAGGTCATCCACTAGGCCACATGGCCAGCAAATGGGCCCCAAGCCTTGACCAAAGGCTTCTGCTTGTTCCCCTGCAGGTGAGAAGGGTGAGACCGGGGTCAGAGGTCACTCCGGGAGGAGCGGGAAGGAGGGCCCGCCAGGCTCCCGGGGTCTCCGGGGCCGCAAGGGCCAGAAGGGGCAGGTGGGGCTGCCGGGCACCCCATGCCAACGTGCCTACGCCGCCTTCTCCGTCGGCCGGCGCGAGGGGCTGCACAGCACCGATGCCTTCCAGGCCGTGCCCTTCGACACGGAGCTGGTGAACCTGGACGGCGCCTTCGACCTGGCGTCGGGCCGCTTCCTCTGCGCCGCGCCGGGCGTGTACTTCCTGAGCCTCACCGTGCACACCTGGAACTACAAGGAGACCTACCTGCACATCATGTGCAACCAGCAGGCCGCGGCCGTGCTGTACGCGCAGCCGAGCGAGCGCAGCGTCATGCAGACCCAGAGCCTGCTGCTGCCGCTGGCCGCGGGGGACACGGTCTGGGTGCGCATGTTCAAGCGTGACCAAGACAACGCCATCTACGGCGAGCCCGGGGACCTCTACATCACCTTCAGCGGCCACCTTGTCAAGCCGGCCGCCGAGCTCTAGCCGCCCCTGAGTGCCACCACCTGCCCCCCGGAGCCTGACCCCTCCCTCACCGCTGAGGGGGATGCCAGTATGTCCGCGCGATGGTTGTGCAATGATCGAACCCCGATGGCATGCAGACACTGAGCTGAGGGGTGGGGCAGGAGCAAGACAGGTCTGGGGTCCTGGCCTGGTGGGGATGGGTACAACCGAGTAGTTTGAGATGAGACTGTGGGGGTGGGTGTTGGGCAGGGTGGGCGGGGCATCTCTCCATGCTGTGGAGTGTGCCTCTCAGTCAAGCGAGAGTTTGCTTACTAAAGGCTGTGCCAGCACCGCTGCCTCGGAGACCTTCGTAAAACACCTACTCGGCGCCGGGCTAGACACTGGGGAGTCCAGAGAGCAAACACAGGCATCAGCCCTCTCAGAACTGATGCTAGCCATCTCAGGCCAACACTGGGCGAGGAGGGCAGGGGTCCTGGGGTCCCCACATTCAGGTCCTAAGGAAGCAGACCTGGGTGGAGCTATGACTCCAGACCCTTAGTGTCAGTCCAGGCCCCCGCGCTGGGTCCTGGGTCCAGACAAAATGGAACCCTGCCTTGAAAAGCCACAGATAAAGAGGTTAGGACAGACAGGTGCCTGTGCCTGGAGGGGCTCAGAGGCGACCCCTGGCCTGGGCCAGACTCTGCCATGGTGCTTGGCAGGCAACAGCAAAATTGGGGGTAGGGATGGCAGTGTGTGTGGAGGGGGGGGGGGGTCATACAGTCAAGGATGAAGCAGAATGTCATGGGCTGATGAAGCTATGGCCCCACTACTGACAGGAGGGGGCCTCGGGGGGGGGGGGACTGCGGGGCCCTGGGGCACAGACTTGGGCGGAGCCTCAGGCTGAACTTTGTGTCCTTTTATGGCTGGAAGAGCCAGAAACGCCCAGGGTGCTGGGCAACCTGTGAGCACATCAGGAGCGAGTACTAATGGGGGACAGGGTGACAGACAGGGTTCTGCTGTGAGATAAAGGTGCTGAACAGCAATAGGAGCCTGAGGGGGTGGGGGTGGCAGGATCCTGCCTCCCTCAGGCCTCCCTCCTGGAACCTGCACTCCCCTTCCACCCTGACCAGGAACCCCAGACCCCTGTGTGTTGGGGGCCAGCCTAGGCAGGAGGGGCCGGGAGGGAAGCCCCTGTCTGCCAGCTCCAAACGCAGCCTGTGTCCTCTCTAGCCGCCTTCTGAGGGCCTCTGTCAGGGCCCCAGAGCGGCAGAGGTGGGGTCTAGAGGCAGGGTCACCCTGCCCAGACCTGGCAGTCACTCTACTCCTTTTACCCTCATGGCGTGAATCCGGCTGTTAGAGCCTCCTGACAGGTAGACATTGGGGCATCCGAGCCGAGTATTGAGGGACAGGCCCTGCTCCCCGCTGCTGACACAGGAGGGCAGAGCAGGTCAGGGGAGGAAGGGCACCTGCCAACCTCCAAGCTCCAAACGACCACGTCCTCAGAGACTGGGGGGGGGGGGGAGGGTGGTCCTGAGTGAGGCCGAGGCCCACCGAGAGCCTCAGTACTTGTTAGGGACGTGCCAGAGGACTCTGCCCGTGAGTGCAGGACGAGAAGGCAGTGCCTGCCTCACCCCCACAGCTCCAGGTTTATTTGTTACAAAACAAACAAACAAACAAACAAACAAATAAAAAAGGACTAAGAGCTGGGGGCAGGGTGGGGGCAGGAGGGGTCAAGGTCATCATATTCTTGTAGTGATGAAGGGCGCCCTTGGGTTGAGTGCAGAGACACGAAGGTCGGCGAGGCCCAGCTGCCAGGACCACTTAGAAGGAGGAGGAGGAAGTGACCCCAATCAGCACAGCCAGCGGGCAGCCCCCGCCGTGTGGTTTGTGGGAATCAGGAATGACGCGCAGGCGCCTGGGTAAAAAGCTGGGAAAACATGTGTTTACAGGGACAGCCTGGCTGCCTCCTGAGAGATGGGATCCTGTCTGGGAGCCAGTTTACCCATAATCGGTTTACCCATTTAGTGGAATTCCAATAAAACAGACATTTAAAAAACTAAGTGAAATCCATACAATAAAATGTACCATTTTATTTTTTATTCATTTATTTATTTAAATATATTTTATTGATTTTCCACAGAGAGGAAAGGAGAGGGATAGAGAGCTAGAAATGTCGATGAGAGAGAAACATCGACCAGCTGCCTCCTGCATATCCCCTACTGGGGATGTGCCCGCAACCAACGTACATGCCCTTGACCAGAATCGAACCTGGGACCTTTCAGTCTGCAGGCTGACGCTCTATCCACTGAGCCAAACCTGTTTCGGCAAAATGTACCCTGTTTCCCCGAAAATAAGACAGTGTCAAATATTAATTTTTGCTCCCAAAGATGCGCTAGGTCTTATTTTCAGGGGATGTCTTATTTTTCCATGAAGAAGAATACGGTACACATTTATTGTTAAATGAAAATAAAGGAAATTTATTACCTGTATATGGTACAGTAGTATGGTAGTTGTCAACACAAACCAGACAAACCGTGAATCCTACAGTATCAAGAATTTACTCATTTATTCAATGACAATCATGTCATCATCTTCTGGAACATCATCATAACAATCCAATTCCTGAATTTCCTGGTGAATTTCTTGTGACTCCATTGCTTTCAGAATCAGTGGACCAAATCTCTTATGTTTAGCCTAGTGGGGCCCTTATTTTCGGGGGATGCCTTATATTTCACTCAGAAGGAAACCTGTAAGTAGGTCTTATTTTCGGAGGATGTCTTATTTTCGGGGAAACACAGTACCATTTTAAAGTGAACAATTGAATGGCATTTTGCACTTTCACAGTATCAGCTCTATTAGTATCTATGTCTAGAATAGTCTCACGATCCCCGAAGAAACTCTCAACCCCATCGGCAGTCACTCCATAACCACTCCCCCAAATATCAAGTGTTTGCAAATATCACAGAAGAGAGCCTCTGATCTCCCCCAAGGCAGAGGTGCTGGGAGGGAGGCTTGCTCAGGTGGAGCCCCAGTCCCCCCAACTTGGGGACCCATCCAGGTGCCCAGATGATGCCCTCATACCTCCATCAGCACAAATCGGGCAAATGCATAGCTGCCACCTCATCGCCAGGTACATAGCCCAAAGGAGGGGAAAAGAAGGGCCTGGCACAGGGGGAGCAAGGTGCCTGAGTTGGCACGATTGTCCCAGGACAGGTAGGGGCAGGGAGGGGCACCCCCTCAGGCACCTGGGCAGTCTAGGACCCTCATGGTAAGGTCCCCACTTGGGCAGAGACGCCATCATTCAACGTCAGTTATTCATTCAACAAACACCTTTCAGGGTTGTGGTAGCTGGACCAGCCCTTGGGAGCTGGGGGATGGCATCGGCTGGTCTACACAGGGCAGGACAGTGCCCTTGGGATTGATGGAGGGGGGGGGGGGCTTGGGGAAGGTCCCTTGTCCCCAGCAGCCAGGGTGGAGGAGGGGCGGTGGGTCATGGATCCAGCTGTCTCTCCAGGGCTCCATCCCCATCCAGTCCTGGGACCCACAGTTCTGCAGAGCCCTGATCAGTGGCCAGCGGAGAGCCTGTTCTCCGTATCATTCAGTCGTTAGGGCATTGCTGATCTCTGTGGCCCCAGGTTCCCGATGTCTCCCCTTCCTTCGCTGTTGTTCTGCCCCAGGACCCCCTCACCTGGGGCACCCCGACATGGCTCCTGCTGTCAGGGGCTGGGCCGGGAGTGCAGCCTCAGTTAATCACAGGGCAGAGCGGCCTTGGTTTCCCTCATGGTGGGGACCCAGCACCTGCAATCGCACCACATCCCACCCTGTGCCCAGCCCTGCCAGGCAAACAGAGCCCTCCTGCCCTTGCGCCCCACCCCAGAGGCGGCCGGATTTCCTGAGCAAGGTCATTGTGGAAGCCACTGGAGCCCATTGGCCAATAAAACCCATCGATGCAGAGAGAGAGCCCATAAAACAGGTCTCCCTTCCCAGAGGGTATCGCTCTGGGTCACCCCCACCCCGCTCAGGGCTGGGCCGGGACCTGCAAGCGGGGTGGCTCTGTCCGCAGCCTGTGCTGGGTATGGGCGGGCAGCAGGGCTCCCCCTGCTCCCTGGGCGCAGGCTTCTCTTGGGACACTCCTGCTCTGCCCTCGCAGGCCCAGGGGGAGGGTCCTCATTCCCGCCTGCTCAGTGGCTCACCCTCGCTCAGGCCTCTGCAGCTGTCCACACTGGCCAAGCCTCTTTTCACTCCCATAGACCCATGTCCACAGGCTCCCCGGGATCCTCTGGAACGTCTCACAAGCTCCCCGACACTGGGCCCATCAGGCCCCAGGCACCACACACACACACACACACACACACACACACAGGCACACGCTCACCCCCCTCGCAGGCAGGAACAGGTCAGGGTGCTGCTGGCCTCTGTACACCCCACACGGCTGGCATGGCCTTGGGGAGGGAGCTCATGCAGTTGAATCAATCAGGGGAAATTGATCTGGGCAACATTTCCGAGCCATCTGCTCACTCCCGGAGTCACTTTGATCCCAGGGAGGCCTGGTCCTAGGGTGGGGACAGCAGGTAGGGCTGGCCTCAGTTTCTCCTGGGGCACCCACCCCTCCCTGGGATGCTGGCCCCTAGAGTGGGTGGTGGTGGGTTTGGCCATCAGCGCCCAGTGATTGCAATCCCAGCCTCTGCGGACCCCACATGGAGGAGCCACCCCCACTCCTTGGAACTGAGCCCAGGAGTGGTGGAGACAGCCTGGGTCCCTCAAGGCAGCCAGGTCCACAAACCCAACAACCACAGAAGGAGCTGACCCCCACCCCCATCCTTAGAGGCCAAATTCAGATCCTCCCCCTGCCCAGCCCAAGGCAAAGGCCCATCTTTTCACACCTATTGTTTGCACCTTCCAGCATGGCAGCATCTAAGTGCCCACTGGTCACTTCTAGCTGGTGTTTGGCCGCGCCGGTCCTGCCTCCTCCTGTCCACCAGCTCTGATTTGCATTGGCTTCTCGGCTCCGGGGACAATATTTGCTCTGGGAAAGAGTCAAG